GAGTCCTGCTTATAATCATGCATATAACCTTGACTTTGGATCTGGCCAGAGGGGTGTTGGAGCCCAGCCCACCCACATACCAGACAAGCTCTTAGGGGAGCAGAAGAAAAGCAGGAAGAATTTAAATGTTTAATTTTTTTTAAATTGACTTTTCTAGTTATTAAAAGTTGCTTGTTTCAGCAGTGATATTGTATAAAGAACATCTTGTAAGATAATTCTGTCATCTTGCTTTGGCACATGTACAGTACAGTTTATATGATAACGTGTTGCTTTACTCTCCCTCATCCTCTCCCCCAGCCCATCCACTCTCAAGCAGGTAAGCTGGGTGGAGGCTCAGCACGGCAAGCAGTGGCATCTCTAGGGGGGTGTTCCCTCATCCTGCCAAGGTGGCTGTTTCTGCCTCTTCCCATGCCCATTCTGGCCTCAAACGTGGAACTCCGTGAGAACCTGGATATTTCAGTGGACGGTGTCAGTAGGGGTTGGGAGGAGGGGATTGGGAGAGAAGCTCAGAGCGTCCCTTCCCACAAGTCTAGCGCTAGTTGTTATATTTAGGCAAAACTTTGTAGTCTTTCCCTTTTATGACAGATTTTGATAAAAATACAAAACAGGGTTTAATTTTCTTTTCTATCAACTTTGAATTTGGAAAATGTGAGCACCAAAGCTCTTCTGTACCTGTTTAAATTAAAGGAAAAGAAGTCCACCAAGGGGATTGGAACTCCTAGAACTTGAGAATAAAGCCTCTTAATATTAAACTGCAAGGTGTGGTCCCTGTCTCTCCCCTTCCTTGTCCAAGGACTTTGGGAATTTGCTCCAGTGGCTGGTGGCTAGGTTTGCCATCCCTTTTCCTACAGGCATGGAGTTAGCACTGATGTTACAATTTCATGATTCCAACCACCATCCTCCCCTGCCTCTTATCCTAGATCCAGTCTGCTCTTGTTAATAGTGAGCTTCCTGTGTTCCCACTTCAGTGACACCTGAATTGTTTGTTGTTTTTAAAATTGTCTTTAAGGAGGAAGGGCCCCATTAAAGGGTGAACTTGTAATAAATTGGAATTTCAAATAAACATTATGTACTTGTGTTTATAAAGAAGAAGCAATTCTGGTGGGTCTTTCTTTGTGCTCTTGGGTGGTAGTGGAGAGCGCAGCCCCAGGTATTGCCTTCCCGTTGACGCTCGCAGCCTTTTCCTCTGAAGGTTTGGCTTCCGCAGCCAGAGGACCTGTCACTTAAGTCTTTCAACTACAGGTCACGTCCATCTCCTGCATTTCTTAGTTCCTAGGAGACATTTCTGTTGCCCTGGGTGTAAAAGAAGCATGACCGTCAAGCCTCTCCTGGCCTTGTGTTGTCTAAAACCTCAAAACTTCATTTGAAATTAGGAATTGGGACGTGGGGGAAAGTATTTTAAGGCTTCACTGTGAGAATTTATGTGGTCCTTTAATTTGGGGGAAACTCCTGACATTTTAAAACTTTTTTCAAGGAAAATTTCAAACATAAACAGGAGTGACAAGTATAGTCAATTCCCCCATGCTCAGCTTTAACAGCTCTGACGAGTGGCTGGTTTGAGTAGGTTACTGCTGGGCAGCGAACCTGCTTGTGGAATAAAATGGTCTTGCTGAGCCGTGATTACATCTGGTGAGAAATGAAGCTGCCGCCTGCTGACCAGTGAACCAGGGATGGCATATGGTGAAACAGGAAGAGCAAATCTGAGGAGTGACCTAAACCCTAGGTGCAGGCAGGTTCTGCCACTGACTCACTTTGTGGCCATGAGTGTGGGCTTCAAGCCAGTGTCGGTGCTGAGCACTGCTGGGAACCTCTTGTCCTGCCTGGAGGAAGCAGGTTTGCCCCAGTGGCAGATGGCACTCGGCTAGCTCACCCGCCCCAGCCCTGCAGCTCTGGGGAGAGCTGTGCTACCTCTGCATGTTTCTTACAGGATGATGGTGGCACTTGGGGCTGCCAGCCCACATCTTGGGAGGAGTGCTCAGGTGAGTTTCCTAGGCACATACTAGGATAGTGCCTGAAGGAGACATCATCTCCTCTCTGGTCTGTATTTTGGTGCTACTTAGGTCTCAGTAGTACCTCCCCACTCCCTCCCTCCCAGGGTGTGACCATGGGGGAAACCACTCACTGTTGATTACCACAAATGGGGACATGAGAACCTTTCTGAGGACAGGTCTGAATCATTACTTCTGGGAATCCCCAAGACCTGTCCTTGGTCCTGTATGCTCTTCTTTCTCAAGTCCTGTCAGGTGGCAGGGAGACGAGCAACATTGTCAGTGGACTTGAGTGGCAGTGAGGTGGTGTCTTGATTCCAAAGCAGCCACTCTCAGAGGGGCCACCTCTTCCAACTTGCTGGGGCAAGAGTTGGGACATCTCTAGCAGGATACTGAGGGAGAAATTCAAGCCAGGTGGAAAGAAGGTGGCCTTCTGTTACCAACCTGTGCTAATCCCTGCCCTGGGCTCTAAGGCCTTTTTACATCCAGGACTGCCTCGAGTCCGGGAGCTTCTTCCTTTAGGGTGCAACTTTCTGGGAGAAAGAGCAGCCCCTGGCCCCCTCACAGATTCTCCCCTGCCTGCCTGCGGTCAGGATCAGCCCTGCCAACTCTGAAGTCTGAGTTATTTCCTTGGAACTAACACCAACCAAGGTCAGGACTAAGTTCTGGTAACTCAGGCCCCCACCATGCATAAGCTCGCGCCTGCAGCACAGCCTCTGCCTGCCAGGAGACACAGGGACATCTGATGTTGCACTCCAAAGATCCAAATGCCAGGCACCAAGGCCACCAGGGAAGGAAGGGGTCTGGGGCCACATCCTCATGCTGCAGGTGTTGGTTTTTGTTTGGCTCTGGAATGTCCTTTTTTGGGGTGGGGGGAGGTTCAGCTGTGGGAGGAACATGTCCCCTTCCCACCCACTCCGCCCAAGCTTCTCTGGACATAACTTCCCTAAATTGCACCCCTGCCATTACACACTACACCCAGTCGAATCCATGGTGTAGAAACCACGCAAGCTCCGGAGGCCGGTGGTTCAGTTCCAGCTTGGCCTCAGCGCGTGGTTGTGTGATCCTGAGCCAGCCAAGCCCTCCAAACATTTCCCTCCCGTCTGTAAAGTGGGGAGAGGAGGATCAAGCAGGAGGAATCCTCTGTTTCCTTCCTTCTCCTCCAGTGTGGGACTTTCCATAGCGTCTCCCAGGGCTGAGGCACAGCCCCATGACCAAGCTCTGGCCTCAAAGCAGAGCCCCCAGGGGCCTGTCCTGACCCTGCACTGCTCCTTCTGTGTTCCCCAACCCTTCCTGCCTGGTTGCCCTAGAAGCCGGCCACTGGGCTTATTTCTGCTGGGCGGGATGTAGCCACGACTGGCAAGGAAGAGGGGCAGCCAGGTGCCCTTTGGTGCTCACTCTTTCTCCACCCACCCCACTTGCCTTTTTCTTCCCAGGTTTCTAGAATCCTCTCCATGCAGCCCTTAGGCAGTTCCTTGAACGCCTTTCTCATCTAAATCCTTCTCTTCTGGAAGAGCACACATTAAGTCCCCAAGCACCTTTGACCAACAGAGCCAGGTGACTCTAACTCACCTGGCTCCAGCTGCCCCTGCCCTGGTCAGACCCTCAGCACCTTCCTTCCTACCCCCTGCAGACCTAGCCTATGGGCCCAGCTCAGGGCAGCCCCTGTCCTCCCACCCCCAGTGTAACTGTCATCCAGCTCTTTCTGTTCCCTCAAAGACCCCCACATGAGGCATCACAAGGAATTGAGGTCACCTGGCTTTGTTGGTCAAAGGTGCTGGGAGACATGCTCTTCTAGAAGAGAAAGATTTTAGATGGCAAGGGTATTCCTAAGTAAGGGCTGCACACTTTCCCTGGTGGTCAGTACTGCTCCTTGTGAGAAACAAACCCTAACCCCGCTCAACCCATGATGGGCCTATCTTCTGGGAACTTGACTCAACCTGTTTCATTCTCCCTGGCTTGTTTTCTTGTTCTGGTGAGACTGGTGGTTCGGCTGGTGCAGGGCACAGAGCTCGGGCCTGAGAGGCTCTGGATCTGGGGCTCAGCCCTACTCTTGATCTTGGGCACATGGGCTCCTCCCCTCCTGGGGTCCTCTTTGGCCCTAACGTGCTGCTGGAGGCGGCTGGACCCTTGGGGCCTCCTGGCACTGACAATAAATGCAGGCTGTGTGGAGTAGGCACCCAGGGATAGTAACCAAGACTCTCACCTGGCTGGAGTCGCAGTGGCCAAGATGGGGCTCTGGCATCTGATCCCCAGCTGATAAGCATCCCCAGAAATGGCCACACACACTCAGCTACCGTACAGTGAGCAGAGACAGCAGGTCCCAGCAGCTCTGAGCTTCCCCAGCACATGGAGACACATGGTACCTCTCCGCATTTCCCAGCACACGCATCTGCAAGCTGCCCCAGTGTGGGCACCCTGCCCACCAGACTGCCCGTTCACACTGCTGCATCAGCACCTCAAATCTAAACTTCAGGAGTGGGGGGCCCAATTCCCACTACACTCAAGGGCTCCCCATCCCCGAGCCCTTGTCTGCGCTGCCAAGATGTCACATACCAGTCCGGCCCCATCTTCACCCCACCTAGAGACATGATGGCGTGGGTGGGGTGCCCTGCCCAAGGCCCCCAGGAGGGAGGTGGACACACCGGCAATCTTCCGAGGCAAAGAGGATGGTCAGCCTCCAGCCTCAGAGGCTCCAGGGATGTGGCCTTCAAGACACCGTTGACAGGCTGATGCCCTCACTTTCCACACCAATGAGAACTTGTTCTCACCCACAGCCCCAAACAGGCCAGAGGTGGCAGTGTCGTCCCAGGGGATTCCCTGAGTGTCCCGGCAGGCATCCCAGTCTCACTTTGGAAGCACAGAACTCAGGCCTCAGGGGCCAGAGGGGCAACACACACACACTGTGGTGGTGTCTGGGACTCCTGCAAAGCACAGCTGCTCTGGGGGACTTCCTCCCGCAGGGCCCTCACCCTCCTACCTCCCCTTGCCCCGCCACAGAGGACTCAGCAGTGTCACACGGGGTTTATTCCAGTCACAGCTTCCAGAGAAACGCAACAATAAATTACATCATTAAATAAACTCCTGCTGGACCCTACCCCCTTCTGCCCCCTCCTCCCACACCCTTGCCCAGGACCCTGTGGGGACTCAGCCAGGCCCATCCCCCGAATGCAGTGGGACGGGACATGAACCTCTCTGGGTCCCCACCCTGGTTCTCAGCCCCCTCATACTCACTTGCCTGACCTTGACAGCTGGGCTGCTGCTAGTCAGCTGTCTCTGGGGGGAGGGGCAGGGAGGGCAAGAAGGGCGCAGCAGCCACCCTGCGCCAGGCCTGTGTCGCTAGAGGTGTGTGGGGTTCTCCAGAGAGGGGTCTGTCTTAGTCATGTGCAAGACCACGGTGGGGGCCTTATAGTGGCAGTGCATGGCACGGCCATAGCCCCCGGGGGCCCGGCAGGCCTTGGCCCGGGCCCGGCCAGCTGCCATCTTGCGGTGGCACAGACTCTGCCAGGTCTGGAAAGTCTTGGAGCTCCATACCCAGACCCCACTGGTGATGCCCACCACCAGCGACATGAAGATTTTGAGCATAAAGACAGCCACAGTGGGCACTGAGCCCCCTGGCAGTGAGCAGTCCCTGCGGCCTCCGGGCATGGTGGCTGCTGTGCATGGCTGCTCTGTGGCCCGAAGGCGCCAGAAGTCCATGTTGAGGCGTTCATAGACGTAGCAAACAATGACGCAGGTGGCAGGCACCGTGTAGAGGATGGAGAAGACCCCAATCTTGACCATGAGCTTCTCCAGCTTCTCGGTGTTGGTACCGCCCGTCTTCATGATCTTGCGGATGTGGAAGAGGGCCACGAAGCCGGTCAGGAGGAAGCTGGTGCCTAGCACCAGGTAGCAGGAGAGGGGCACCAGGACGAAGCCCGTGAGCGCAGCTGCATCCATGCTGGCCACGTAGCAGAGCCCAGTCAGCTCGTCCCCGGCCACCTTGCGCAGCGTCAGGATGACGATGGTCTTGAGCGCCGGCAGTCCCCAGGCCGCCATGTGGAAGTAGCTGCCGTGGGCCTCGATGGCCTCGTGGCCCCATTTCTTGCCGGCCGCTAGGAACCAGGTAAGCGTCAGGACCACCCACCACAGCGAGCTGGCCATGCCGAAGTAGTAGAGCAGCAGGAAGACGAGCGTGCAGCCCGTGTTCTCCAGGCCCTCCTGGATCACGTAGAGCGCGCCCGCCTCCTGGTCGCAGGCCACGCTCTGGGCTCCGGCCACAGCGCGGATGAGGAAGGCCAGCGAGTAGACGTTGTAGCACATGGAGAGGAAGATGATGGGGCGCTCAGGGTACTGGAAGCGGTGGGGCTCCAGCAGGAAGGTGAGCACGGTGAAGGCCGTGGAGAAGAAGCACAGCGCCGACCACACGGCCATCCAGACGAGCGCGAAGTCCTTGTCTCGGCGCGACCAGAACACCTCAACACCCGGCCCGCAGCGCGGCGCGCACGAGCGGCTCTTCTCCACGTACTGGAACTTCTCCGGGTTCGCACAGGTGCCGCCGCTGCCCGGGCCCGGACCCGCATCGCCGGGGGGTCTCACGGGCCGCGGCGCCACGGGCAGCATGCCCAGGCCCTTGTGGGGCTCGGCGGGGCCGGCCGTGGCGTTCTCGGGCGCCTCCATGCAGAGCGCGTGCGGGTCGTTGCGCGTGGGCAGCCGGGCGCAGTCGAGCGAGTCCGGCCAGCCGAAGTTGAACTGCTCCATGATGGGCGCGCAGCGCAGGCGGGCCTGCTCGCACATGGGCCGGCAGGCGGGGATGGGCGTCGAGACCTGGTCGGTGCACATGGGCGCGTACAGCGAGCACAGGAAGAAGCGCAGGTGGCTGTGGCAGCCGTACTGCACGAGCGGCGCGAACTCGGCCAGCTCGGCGGCCGCCTCGCCCTGCGACGTGTGGCCCAGCAAGTTGGGCATGCGGGTCAGGTTGTAGCCGATGCCGCGGCACATGGGGATGTCCACCGCCTGGCACGGCGCCGGCCCGCGCCCGCGCTCCGGGTCGAAGCGGCCGATCTCCAGCGCCGCGCCGCCCGCCGCCAGCAGCTGCCACAGCAGCAGCGCCCGGCCGAGCGGCGGCACGGCCATCCCGGGCGGCCCGGGCCGAGGGCGGGAGCGCGGCCCCGGCTCACTCGGGCCGCGCCGTCCCGCGCCCCCGTGCCAGCCCGCCACGTCGCCGGGCAGGGGCCATCGCCCAGCCGCCCACGTGTGTCCGGGCGCCACGGGGCGCCCTGGGCAGCGCGCGCGAAGCCGCCCGCGGGACAGGAGGCGCCGAGCCCGCCGAGCCGCCACCGCCGCTGCCACTGGAGCCGCCGCCGAGCCAGAGCCGGCGCAGCCTCCCGGGGCCGCCGCTACCAGCCCCCGGGGCGGGGCTCCCGGCGGGCACGCCCAGGGGCGGGGCCTCCGCACGCCGGGCACGCCCCCGCTGGGCTTTAAAGGCGCCGCGTCTCGCAGCCACGCTGGGGCGCCCGCTGGGGGCGGTCGGGCCCGGGAGTGCCTGTGCGACTTCGTCTGCCCGTCCCGCTTACGTTTCTACTCGGTTCTTCCCCTTCTCTTGCAGCTCAGTCTCCTCGTGACAGCACTGTCTGCAGGAAGATCAGTCTGTTCCCTGCCCACACTCCCACACTGGGTCACCTGGATTTCTCAATCTGAAGCTTTCACACACGGGAAGCCTTGGCCTTGTACTCGGTGACCGCTCAAATGCAGCCTCTGCCTCTTCAGTGGTTGTATGTGACTTTGGGCCTCTCTCTGAGCCTCAGCTTCCTTTTCTGTAAAGCGGGTGGATAATCCTGTTAAAAATGAATAACTCATACTGTGGACCTGCGCCTGATGGACTGGGCAGCATGGTTGACCTTGATCTTAATCCTCTTGGTAATCCAGGAATGCTACACTATCCCCATTTCCTGGATGAAGAAACTGAGGCTCAGAGAGGAACGACGTACCCAAGGGCATAGACCCAGTAAGTGTTCCATTTGGGATTGTCTGACTCCGGACCCCATACTCATTTCACAAGGCCACCATGCTCCCCTGGGAAGGGTGTTATCACCCTCTCACTTCTCTCTAGCTTAAGACCTCTGGGACCTGCTTAGAAACTGCTGTGGTTCCCCAGTAGCTCTGTGGGTGAAACCCAAGGTCACTGGCAGGCCACCCAAGGGCCTCTGTTCTGGGACCCCTCAGAGACTGCCATCCCCCTCCTGGCCTAAAAATACTTGGAAGACTCAGCCTCAAATTCCACCTGAGCACTCAGCACAGGGGCAGGCCCCCTAGTAACCGTGCTGGGATGCTTAGCGAATGAATGAGTGTGTGACCTAGAACTGTAGGGAGGCAGGGAAACTGAGGACCTACTGTGAGCCAAGTGGGCCCTGGGCCAGGCATTTTACAGTGACTTTTTTAACCCTCACAAAAGCAACAGTCTTACAAGGAAATTCTGTACCCATTTTACAGATGAGAAATTGAGGCTCAGAAAATTCAAGGTATTTGCTTAGCTAGGATTATGTAGCTCTAAGGGTCAAGGTTGGCATTCAGGCTCTTCTACTACATGTGGCTGCCTGGGCACCTGCCCAGCCATCCCAGCTTGGCCAACACTCGCCTGCTGTAGAGCCGGCCTGTGGTGGGACACAGGAAGGACCAGTGGCGGTGATGGTGAGAAAATAGGGCCATCGTTTCCCACACAACCTGCAATTAGTGCTCAGCTGCCCTTAGAACAGGGACCAGGAAGGGACCAGGAAAGGGAGACGCCGTCTTGGGCACACACCTAGCCCCTGGCTCTCAGAGGACCCAGCAGACGGGCACCCGTGGAGATGCAGCCAGCCCTGTGTCCAGCACATGGAACAGACTCGGCCCACGTGAGCCGTGAGAGTTGCCACTGCAAGGTCCTGACTGGCCCCAGGAAGCAAGGGCAGGAGTGTGGTACCTGCAAAAAAAGGACTCAGCTTTGACCCCCTGGGCAGGGATAACGGAGCTTCCCAAAATGTCATTGGTGCCTGCCCCAAGTGAAGCTGGCACTCCTGGGGTGGCAGCAGGAAGCCCTTCCAGGCAGGGCCCCCTCTTCATTTCCCGCCAAGCCCGACACCCCACCCTCACTCCTTAGAAACACCCTGCGAAGTCCCAGCCCAGAAGGCCTTTCTCTTCTTCTTCTGTTCCGCCCCAGCACCCTGCAGTCTAGCGTCACCCCCCTACCCCCCCAAACCCGCCAGGGCTGGAGGCTCTGCCCTGTGTGCCCAGCACGCTGTGCAGTCTCCATGTGTCCCCAGCAGCTGCTCCAGGGCCACAGGAGCATATTCTTTCTCTCTGTGTCGGGCCGGCAGTGGCCTAGATGCATGGATGATAGTGCCCCATGGCCGTTCCTCCTGAGCCCGCTCAGGGTGTTTGTGGGAGGTGGGGCTCTGCTGGCCACGGGACAAGGAGGCCCAGGCTGCTGGCGATGGCCCCTGCTGGGGCTGGCCCAGGAGCAGGGGTTTGTGTGCCCCCGCCCTGCACCAGGGTGGAGAGGACCTGGGGCCCTTGCTCTGGCAGCCTCGGTGGGCAAGGCGCCCCCAAGGCCGTGGGATGCCAGGCCTGTCACCATGGCAACGGCCACTCGTGGGAAGCCAGAGGTGGGGGGTGGAAGAGCCCCGCCCCCAAGCAGATGCGGCCTGGGAGAGGAAGGGCCTCTGGGGCCTCCTGCCCACCCACCGGGCTTTGTCACCCGATCTGCTTCTTTATAAAGGAGGAACAATACCCGAGGGCTCACACTGAAAGGGAGACTATGAGGAGGACCGGAGGGGAGGGGAGGAGGGAGGTCACCATCAATGTTCCTCCCCAGCCCTGATCTACCCGGCAGAGGGGCGGGAGACAGGGGAGGTATGGATGGGCACCCCCCCCAGCTCCTCCTTCAGGGAGATCAGCGCTTCCTAGGGACCTTGGCTGGGGCCAACCAGTTGCCCTGCATAAGTGGGAAGGGACACCCTCCTGGCCTGTGTCCCCCTCGCCAACCTCCCCACCCTCCCAGACTGCGCTCACCACTCACCCCTCACCAGATTCATGCTGTCGTGTCCAGGCCCTTCCCTCCCTCCCTCCTGGACTCAGGTCTGACACCGCCTCCTCCAGGACGACTGCCGCCCCACGCCCACCAGCTCTGGTGCCCACCTCTGTGCCCGCAGCCGTGACCATGCTGCACCTGTGCCTGACTCCGCAGCACCAGCCTGGGGGCCTCTGGAGGCCAGGGACGTGCTCCTCGGTGTCTTGGCGCCTGGCCTGGAGTAGACTCCCTTATTTGTTGTGTGAAAAGAATGTCAGAATGGGAAGGAGCCCATAGATCCTTCTGGAAGAGGCTGAATGCAAGTGGGGCCTGAGGTGGGGCAAGGTGTGTTTATTGGACTCGGAGGACAGAGGAGTCCGTGTGAGTAAGCAGGGATCAGGAGGACCATCCTGTACCTCCTCCAGGTGCCCGGGCCACCCCACAGGAGAAATCTCGGGTGGCAACGGAAGACCCAGCAGGGACACCCACACCTGCTCCCTCGGGCGGGGCAGACGGGAACTGCTGTGTTCCTGTGGAGGTGGGCCCTGGCCTGTGTGTGTGGCTGTTTGTGTACATGTGCACACAAGGTCTGTGCAGGTGCCACTCCTGCGTGTGCACACCTGCCCCGGGGCAGGGCTGGGGAAGACCCTGGGTGGGGCTCTGGGAATGAGCCCTGCTTCGGACTCAGTTTCCCTTTATGGGCATGCACTAGACTGTTCCATTCTTATTAAAGAAGCACTTTAAAAATCCTTTATAGGGCTTTGACAATTTTCACAAGTAATTCAACATTGGAGATGAGTACAGAAATAAAATAATTGTCTATCTCTCCTCTTTACAGCCTTAGCCCCGAAGGAACCACTATTCAGAATTCAGGCATCTCTTTTGACCCTTTTTTCCTAGACTTCACAAACACATATATACATGTATTGCAGTCTTTACTTATCTGTTCTTTACTAAAATAGAATGAATACTGTGCATATTATACCTCATTTTTCTCACCTAAAAATCCATCATGGGTAGACACATGGATATGTGATAAAAATAAGAATAGTAAATGTTAATGGTAGAATCGGTGGGCATTCAGATGATCACTATAAAATTTTTTCAGCTCTTCTGTATATGCTTAAATTTACATAATAAAATATTTGAAAAAATCTATCATGAATGTCTATCCATGTCAACACACAAGGATACAAGTCATTCTTTTTAATAACCACTTTTATTGCCACAGTGTGGATTTATTATAAATTATTCAGCTAATCTCCTATGGATAGACATTTAGGTTCTTTCTGATAAGGGCTATATGAGCCACACAGATGTACAAATATATACACTACACTCATGGTCAGCAAACTGTGGCCCCTAGGCCAAATCTGGCTGACTGCCTGTTTTTGTAAATAAAGTTTTATTGGGACACAGCCATGCTCATTGGTTTATGTATAGTCTATGGTTGCTTTTGAGCTAAAGCAACCACAGAGTTCAGAAGTTGTGATAGAGCCCATGTAGCCTGCAAAGCCAAAAATATTTATTATACTATCTTTATAGAAAAAGTTTGCTGAACCTTAAATGTACTAGTGCTTTTATTTCTGTAGCATAGAGTTTGAGAACTTGGGATGTCGGGTCAGTGGGTGTGGGAAGATTTTTTATAGCATTATTGCGGTACATTATTGATGTTATACAATAAACTACACATATTTAAAGTGCATGATTTGATGAGTTTTGACACATAGATATCCTTGTGAAATCATCACAATCAATCCAAATAATGAATATCTTCCAGTTAAAACACAGATATCATGCAGTGGTTCACTCTGGTAATCCCTGCTACTTGGGAGGCTGAGGTGGGAGGATCACTTGAGGCCAAGAGTTCAAAACTACGGGTAACATATCATATATATATGATAGGTCTCTATATATCATATATAGGTCTCTATATATCATATATAGAGACCTATCTCTATATAAAAGAAATTTTAACAACTGTATAACCTAAATACCCTGACTTGATCATTACACATTCTATTCATGTAACAAAATTGCACTTGTACCCCATAAATATGTACACATATAATGTGTAGCCAGAAAAATTTAAAAAGTAAAAAAATAAAAAGTTAATAATGATAATGTTAATAAAATGTTAATGTATATAGTACATGCTACAATATAGTGTGAAATGAGCTTAATAATAACTACCATTTATTAAGTATTAATTGTCATCTCATTCAATCTTCTTAATACCTATGAGGTGATTATAATTCATTCTAATGTTTAGAGGAAATTGAGGCTTAGAGAGACTTGAGGCAACGTGACTAAGGGCAAGTG